AGAAAAAAAAAAAAACAGGGATAATTTCCTTCACTGAATCAGCACGTCACCAGGTGCCTGAACCCTGACTGAAAACGGTGAGTAAAAGGAACAGCTGGATTCAGTCACCTCCATCCAGGCTATAAGAGGTTTTATAAAATCTTTCAAGTATAGAAGTAACTTTGGCCTTGGGACAAAGAAAGCCTTAGCAGTAGCCAAGCTCTTGAGAGAATTATTTATTCTGCTGCTGTTACATACATTCATTACTAAAGTCAAATGCCAAGAAGGGACGACAGTTAGAGGCTGTACAGCAAGTAACTCAACCTACTCATAGAGGGATTTAAATGAGGAAAGGAGTCTACAGGCCAGTCTATGTTACATCCTTGGAGAGCAGCATGAAGAAAGTACAAAGCCCATGGTGGGGAAAAAAGTAGGACTGAAGTTGATGGTATGGGAAGACCAGGAGTTAAAGGCAGTAAAAGGCACTGAGGGCGAATGAGGAGAGAGGTTTGCAAGGCCTGGAAGCTACAGACAAGAAGTTGGGAAGGACTGTGGAAGAGTAAAGAGCAGAGCCAAGGAGTAATTCAAAAAGTGTAGGTGTATGACACGGTCCTAGCAACAGGAAAGGATGAAGATCTCACAGCTGAGGTAAGGAAGCCAGAGAAAAGGCATTTGCAGTAACCCACTAAAAGTATTTTCCCTCTTAAAATATGGCCACTGCTAGGATTGATTTTTTTTTACTATGATCATTTTTTTTTCCAGGAACATACTTGCAAGTAAGCAGTCTTTAGTAGCACTGCATTTATTTGAACTACATAGCCACATGGTGGAGATGGGAAGAAGGGATTTCACTTACCCTCCAGGGGTTCTTCCACTTCCTGTTCTATCTGCTTGAGTTTCCCATCTTTTGTGAGCTTTTCAGTGAAGATATCGGATGGTACCAGTTCTCTTATGGTCTCACCATCATCTTCAGATTTTGCAAGCCACCTTTCGCATGGAAACGTAATGGTTTCTGAACCCTGGACTCACATGAAAAAGGTATTCTCTTGTTACATGGAGATGACATAACAGCTTGGGCACAGTCATGGGCTGGCAAGTATAATGAATCTGTACACACATATGTATGCACATGACAGATTAAAAACTGCTAATTGCAACAACCAAGACATGCGCATATGGAGCAAAACAGAACAAAGCACACCTTTAACTAAAAAACCCTCCTTCTGGTTATTCAGTACCCGAATTTACCCTCATTCAAATGCAACTGCAAGAAGCAACAGATATTGTCTGGTAGGCAAACTAAAAAAAAATAAACTCCCCAAAATACTCCATAAGGATTGCTGGTGTGATCTAATAGGACTTTTCGTTCTCCATTTCCAGTGGGATCCAATACCTGATCCTACAAACACTTCCCACTGAAGCTGTGTTTCATGAAGGGTAGGCAGACTTTTGAAACCCTCTCTCAATCTCCCTTCTTCAAGCACTGCTCCCTCCGAAGTCAATGGTTTCTCTGGCATCAGTACTTCAGGATTTGGCCCTATAATTCTATGACTTGAGATGACTGTCAGATCATTCCCAC